AAATCATGCTGAGGCTGAAGGTTCTGCCTCCAACCAGTTATTGTTGAGTGGACTCCAACTTACTGCGATCCCCATTTCTGAGGGAATAAATAACGTCCAAGATCACAGAGTGGTAGCAGAGGCAGGATTTGAACCCAAGGCGATCTGCTTACACTGTCTACAAGAACCCAGGTAACTTTAGTGTAAGTAGTGCTGCAAACACACTGCTTGGCAATTCAAGGGGGAAAGAATTTGCTCCAGCTGGAAAGGTATTATGGGAAAGGGGGCATTTGAGGTGTGCCTTAAAGTGCATGGATTAGAACAAGGTGAACAAGGGAAGCTTTTAAGCTGAGGGAAGCTACTGTGCAAAGGTGTGAAGGCAGGAAGGCAGTAGGCATGGCCTAAGAATGCTGAAGAGCATGAAGGAGTAGGTATGATTGGGTAAGAGGCCGGGTAAGCAGATACCATCTTGAGTGCCAAGAGTTGGTGGGCGATGGTGAGCCACTGAGGATGCAAAGGAGTGACATGATGGGAATCCAGTTGTGGGCAGGTGAAGCTGGCATGAGTGGATAGGAGGGAGACCGGATGGAGGATGGAGGATGGTCCTGATACTACATCTCTAGCTCAGTTGTAACACATACCATTATAGAACAATTGATGATGTCTTTCTGCTGGTTGACCATGTCTGATTCATCTCTATCTCCAACATCCAGCAAGGGACCAGGAGCACAGTGGGTATAAACACTGAAGGACAGGATGAACTATATTCAAGTAGTCAGTTCACCAGTGGTGATACTGCAAAGAAGCCCAAAGAAGCAGAGGAATGTTGATGAAATCAAAATCAGACTCCAGCAAACTCAGGAATTCTGATGTGACTTCTGTTCACTCATTTAGCAAGTGGTAGCTAACACTTGGTACATAGCTTTTGTTAGATGCTAACCAAACCAAAAACCAAAACTCAATGCTGTCGAGTTGAACCTGACTCATAGCGACCCCTCCTTGGGTTTCCGAGGCAGTATCACTATGGAAGTAGATTGCCCAGCCTTCCTTCTGAGGAGTGGCTGGTGGGTTTGAACCTCCAGCCTTCTGGTTAGTCAAATGCCTTAGGCACTATGCCAAGTGGGAACAAAAGCAAAAACAATTTGAAATTCTATCATCAGAATCAGAAAGTCAAGCTATAAAATACTTAGGTAACAAAGACCCCGCCCCAGCCATGATGTAGTCTCCTTGCCTCATTCATTCATTCACTGGTTCATTCATATCATGAGTTAATAACACATTAAACACTTAGTACCTGGGGAATGCCAAATGCTTAATAAATGTTAATTACTGTTTTTATAGGAGTCCCTGGTGGTGCAAACAGTTAAGTACTTGTCTACTAACCTAAAGGTTGATGGTTTGAGTCCAATCAGAGATGCGCTGGAAGAAAGGCCTGATCTACATCTGAAAGATGAGCCACTGAAAACCCTACGGAGCATAGTTCTACTCACACACGTGGCCCCATGAGTTGGAGTTGTGATGATCATTCAACTGTTCATTGAACGTAGATGCTTACTGTGTGCTAGACATTTATTTTGTGTACTTTCACATGTGCTGACTTACTGAAACCTCACAAAACCAAACTGCAAGGGAAGTGTCAGTGCTCTGTTTCACAAATGTAGAAGCTGAGGTTGTTGCTATTATATTAAAACCTCTGAGTGTCACGTGCCCACAAGTCACCTGGGGCTCTTGATAACATAAAGATGCTGATTCAGCAAGTCTGGCTTGGGGTTCAAGATTCTATGTTTTCAACCAGATCCTTGACATGGCTGATGCTGCTCTCCACGACCCACACTGCATGAGGCCTGAGACCAGGCGTTGCTGCTAAGTGACAGGTGTATACCCAGAACCGGACTTCAAATTCGGGGTTCTTCGTTTTTCCTTTTTTTCTTTTTGGTGGGGGGGTGGGGAAGTTAGGTGGGATGGGATGGGGTCAGATTCAGGCCTTTTTAAAATTCTGCAACTTAAAAGCAAGTGTTTGGACTATACACACACACAAAAGGGCTCATGTACTCACATACGCATACATACGCATGTAAATGAATTTCGGAAGACATGGTTACTCATTCATCACACATTTATTGAGCACAGGGAAGGCAAAAGGCAAGACCTGATCTGTGGTCAAGAGGTCCACAGCCTAGTGAGGGTGGGTCACAGCAGCTTGTTCTTAGGTTCTAGTTTTTAGTTAATGCAACTTCAAGATCACCAGTTACTCAGCCCATTGGTACCTTGAGTTCATCATGCCCAGTATATAACCTAGCTTCACCTCGTCTCAAACAGCTGTTTTTTCCTGTTTCCTAGTTCTGCAGTGACACCATTGTTTTAAGATGGTTGTAAGGCCTTATTTGGGAATTTATGGGCTTACTTATTATTGAAGATGAGAAAGGACCAATTTTGGTGGCCCAGAATCACTTTCCCACCAAGGAAAGAAAATCCAGGTTTAAGCCATATCTAGGTTCTTGGGTGTGCAAATGGTTAACACACTCAGCCACTGACTGAAAGGTTGGTGAGTGGAGTTCATCCAGAGGTGCCTCAGCAGAAAGGTCTAGTGATGTTCTTCCGGAAAAAACATTAATTGTAACACTATGGAAGACAGTGTACTCTGACACGCATGAGGCTCGCTGGGAGTTGGAATGAATTCCACAGTAGCTGGTCTACTGCTTGTTGTTAGGTACAGTTGAGCTGGTTCTGACACATAGTGACGTGTGCAACAGAATGAAACACTACTGGTCCTACCATCCCCACAATCATTGCTACTGAATAAAGAAGACCGCAGAAGAATCAGTGCCTTTAAATTGTGATGTTGGCAAAGAATATTGAATATACCATAGACTGCCAGAAGAACAAACAAATCTGTCTTGGAAGAGGTACAGCCAGAATGCTCTTTAGAAGCGAGAATGGCCAGACTTTGTCTTTTGTACTTCGGTCATGTTATCAAGAGGGGCCGGTCTTTGGAGAAGGACATTGTGTTTGGTACAGTAGAGGGTCAGCAAGCAGGGGAAGACCCTCAGAAAGATGGTTTGGCACCGTGGCTACAGCAGTGAGCATGGCAATGCTTGTGAGGGCTGTTGGTAGTAACCTGAATGAAATGGACACCAGAGGGCGCCTCAGGACCATTATTTCCCAACAACGGCGTTTGCTTTTCCTCCTACAACCCAGTTTTACTTTGACTTGGTCCTCTGAGGTCAAGGAGTTCTGATGGCTCAGTGCCAAAGGAAGGCATTTGACTACTAACCAGAAGGTTGGTGATTCTGAAGGAGGTGCTCTGAGGGAGGAAGATAGGGCAATCTACTTCCACAAAGATTTACTGCCTTGGGAACCAATAGGGGTCACTTTGAGTTGGAATCAACTTGACAGCAGTGACCTTTTTTTTTTTTCTTCTGAAGTCAGCCCCAGTGCATCTTTAACAAGGAATGGAGTCAGTTATAACAGCAAAGCTCACGTGCCTGCTCCCCCCTTTTCTTTTTTTCCTGCTTTTGTTGTTAGCGCAGAACTTCATCCTTTAAAGTTTCTGACTACTCATCCCTTGATTTTGCCCTCTCTTTTGGTTTGGTTTTGGTTTTCTGCCCTGGAAGCCCTGAATGTTGCGCACACACCATGGAAAGGAAGAAAGGAGTGGGCATTTATTCAGTGTCTGCTGTGACCTTTAAGGAGCTCTGGTGGCATAGTGGGTAAGGCATTTGGCTGCTAACCAGAAGGTTGGGAGTTCAAACACACCAGCTGCTCTGCAGAAGAAAGATGAGGCAGTCTACTTCCATAAAGATTAACAGGTTTGGAAACCCAGTGGGGGTCTCTGTGACTCGGAATTGACTTGATGGTAGTGGGTTTTGGCTGTGAGCTTTTCCCCATGTGATGTGTTTTCACAGCCTTCATTGCATGGGAAAGGCTCCTCACAGACCTGTACGATTCTATAGGGAAGATACGATATCTATATTTTTGGAGTAAAATCTACTGAAATATACTGCTTCCAGAGTGGACTGTATTTCTTCTAGTGGGATTCTCGGTTCAATAAATTCCTCATGGCTTTGGGGTCAGATGGTTGGAGTGGGTATGATGATGTTTAAGTCCTTCCTGGTTTACCAGGAGTCTGACCCCAGCCAATGCTCCCCACAGCTGACCTGCCCTGAGGACTGTGCACCTTTCCAAGATGGCAGCTGGTTAACACGGCCAGAGTGTCCATGACTGAGAACAACTTCCGAAGAAATGCAGAGAGTAGTCTAGGAGTCAGGGTATCCACTCAGGTAAGACCATCATCTCTCTGTCCCCATCTCTTTGTCCAAGGAGGGGTTTGAGTGAGATGATCCCAGAGCTGCTTCTCACACTTGACCAGTCTTAGAATCACTAATTCTGGGGATTTAAAGCCCTCTGACACAGTGGGTTTTTTTTTTTTTTTTTTTAGGTTGCCGTTTTTCATTCTTCTCACATTATACCATATGACCAGAAATATTGTCAGAGTTTGCCATTGATTTAATTGTCTTGGATAAGATTGCAGAATGTTAGAACTGCAAAAACTTACAACAATGAGCAGTTAAAGAAGGGCAGAAGGTTGGCATCGTGTAGCAAGGGTCATTCATGTCTGGTTGGTTCCCACTGCAGCCCAGTGCTTAGATAGTGCTTATAGTAGATGCTCAAAAATGAATGAATGAAACTGCAGCCTAAGTCCTAGAATCTGAGAGTCAAAGAATGTTAGAATTATGGGGAAACCTTATTCACATGTTCAGAAAGAGGGAACTGAGATCCCAGGGTTGAGTCATGGAGTTAGTCCCATGGCTGTCCCTCAGGGCCAGCTGGGGCTGGGAGACCAGTGGTGCTCCAGGCCATAGTCTGGGAGCCTCCAGGGAAGGATGGGCTTCCAGAAAAGACATTTTCCAGAGGGGGACAGATTTTATATTTTGCCTTTGGTGCTGATGCCCCCCAGACCTGAGACCATGGCAGCCCTAAGGCACCATCACAGGGTTCCAGGGAGGTGGCCCTGCACAGCCTTAGCATGGCGGGGTGGGTCCAGTGCATAGTTTGTTGGGGTAATGGGCGTATTTGTAGTTGTAGGTGTCCAGGTTGTGTCGGAAGCAGAGTGCAGCCGTCTTGTCACACTCACAGGTCTGCCGCTGGCAGGCGGTTCTGCCGGCTGGATGGGACATGGCAAATCAGGGACCAGGAGGCTAGAGGACTCTTTACTTTCAGACACGAGTGTGACAGCCACTGGCTGCTCCTGGGCCCTCGTTCTCAACCCCATTGTGGTGGAAGCCCACTCTTCTGGGGGATGTTTCAGGGGCAGGGCACAGGAGCCTGCTGGGCCCTGGGAGACTGGAAGTTAATCCTAGCTGTCCCTCCTTCCCCTCCGAGTCCTTCATACTCTCCTGCCCCAGGGGAACCATCTGAATCATTAACTCTCACTGCTCCCAGCCCAGAGGGTTTGTAGGCAACCCCTGACCAGGTAATGCATTGCTGATGATGGCACTGTGGCCATCAAGCAGAGGGACAGTTATGAAATGACAGCAACTCAACCCCAGATGGCCAGGGTGTGCTCCAGAGAAGCCTGTACCCAGACTGGAGGCCATCCATCTGTTATCCCACATCAAAGCTCCAGCGCTCTCTGCCCCAACCCTGTCCTTGAGGCTCTGTCCTGGGATGTCCCCTGCAGCCCCTAGGCTCCTCTCTTGTGCTCATCTCTCCAGAGGCTGAAGCTGGAGGAAGCACCTGGGGGCTTTCTGGGCTGAGTGCCAGGTGCCTCTGGACTGGTACACAGGCCTCCCCTCACATGGCAATGATGGGCGAGTCCACCCTCCAGCCCGGGCACTGGCCCTGATGAGGCCCAAAGGTCACCATCAGGAGGCAGTTCCCACCCGAGCTGTCCCCTAGGTGTCCCAGGTGGGCACCTGTGGGACAAGGGTCACTCCAGGACTGTTCACCTACCACAGAAGATGCTTTGCCTGCTGGTGGAGAACAAATACTTTTCCAGTTTGGGTTCACAGCCTAGCTTCTGCAGGCGCCCATAGCAGCAGTCGTGGGCATGGCAGCACCTGCAAGGGCCACTGTCAACGTGAAGGGCCTGTGAGCCATGGGGGCAGGGCCAGGGGTTGTTCAGGGATCCAGAGGCTTCAGGGAGCTTTTAGACCTCAGGGGACCAGCCCTCATGCCTCAATGTCCCCAGAGCCCCCAGCTTCTCCCTTCCCAGCAAGATTCCCTGGCTGGGCCCGCTCACCAGTCGGTCTGGTCCACAGGCCAGTTGGAGCCGCCGATGCCGCAGTAGCAGCCGTAGTCGTTGTAGTGCAGTGCAGGCTTCCCTGTCATCCTCTCAATCATCACCCCAAACTGCAGCAAGTTCCCTCCAGCCAGGGCCACTGTGGGAGTAGGGGGTGGGGAGCAAAAGCTGGGGCCACTAGAGCCTCAGGATCAATGGGCCTCCACCTAGGACCCCACCCTCTGCAGCCAGTTTCCTCTGACGTCCCCTCGAATTTGGCTCCAGACATCCCTCCAGGTATCCGGTTAACTTTCCTTCCTTGAGGTACCCCACTCCCAGCAACCTCCAAACCGCAGCCATCACACCCTAATCCCCTTGGTCGTCACACGCCGTCTCCTCACCCTCTCCCAGAACATCACCTCACCCACCCTTCCTGATCGTTCCCCAGGGGCCAGCCTCATCTCCCCCAGGAGCACTCTGTGCCCCCAAATCCCATCAGATGCTCTGGACATGTTTCCTAAACACTTTAACCTCCCGGACTTCTCCCCTCCTTATAGCAGATTTGAGCCAAAAATGGAAGCTGGGGTGGAGATGGGAGATGGAACACCAATGGCCCAGAGCAGTCTGTGACCCTCAACAGCCCCTTCCCTGTCCTCCCAGCCCATCCAGGCTGCCCTCTCTTCCTCCCCCTCCCTTCCTCTCTGGCCAATGTCAGCTCAGACTGAGGGCCTCTGGCTGACCCTGATGGCAGGAGGGGGTGGTCTCCAGCTTTGGGTACCCACCACACCCATCCCAGAAGTCAGGCTTGGCTGGGCTCAGGGATAGGGCAAGGAGAGGGTGAAAGTTACAAGGGTCACTTACCCAAGAGGCAAAGGCAGGTCAGAACAGGGGGTGGCTTCATCCTGGGGAAGAGGGTAGTAAGCAGGGGCTGGAAACAGGGCCGCAGAAGAGAAGACTGGGAACAGGGCTACTTCTGATCTCAGGGCACCTCCCCAATTAATTAAATACCCAGTCTGTCCACTCCCCATCATTAACCCCCAAATGCCCAGTGATGCAATGATACTTCCAAGACTTTGGCCAAGTCTCTGGGGGGAGGGGCCAGCCTGGGGCCTGTGGACTCTTCTTGCTGGGAGTTTTTTCTGGGAAGGTGACAGTTTTGTAGCTCTCTTTCTTTCAATGCCCTTCCCATCTACTTCCCTTCCCCCAAGTTCCACGGACCAGGTGCTGTGCCAGATGCTTTGCATTCTGCCTATTTTTTTCTCAGCCCCATTTTACTGATGTAGCAACTGAGGCCCAGAGAGGCTCAGAGATTTACATTCACATAGAATGGGAGTGCCAAAGGCCAAATCTGTCCTCTTTCCGGGACACAGGCTATAAGCAACATCAACCTCCCTTCTCTGCTGCTCCTCAGTGCCTCACCTCATCCGCCTCCCAACACACACACACACACACACACACACACACACACTGGCCCTTTACCTCACTGGAGAACAGAGACTTACTGAGCTGCTTGATTGCACGGCAGGGCCCAGGGCCCCAGGAGGGCCTCTTGTCCAAGAACATACAGGCTGCAGCTGGGAGCTCAGCCAGCTGAGCTGGAATGTCTTCACTGTTCTTTCCTGGCCTGGCTCCTGCTTATTTGGCAGGCAGTGACAATGCTCCCAGATGTGACTTCTGTTTCCCCAGAGCCCTGTGCAGTGCAGTGTAGAAACAGAGCCTGCCTCTGAAAGCCCAGACTGCAGCAGCACTGGCAACTTGGGTGTTTTGGATGTCATCGTTGGATCTGCTGTCACCTGGTCAAGTCAGAACATGGAGGCCGGTTTTCAGAGGAGGCTGGAGGCCAGTGGAAAGGAGGCCAGCACCCAGAAGCCTTCTCCTCTCAGCCCTAGGTCTTCTCCTCCTACGCCAGGCCTGGCCCTGTTGTGGTTAGAGATGTCAAAGCGGCCCTGGTCATGGACTTGCAGTGACCTCGTACGCCGGCCGGCGCCCTCTCCCTTGACTCCTCTCAGGCAGAACTGGAGCCAAGAATCCCCTACCAGGCAGCCCCCTCCTGACCTGTCAACTCCCTCCACCTTCTTTGTTGACCCTCTACCAAGCATGATACTATTCTCCAGGAACTGGTCCCTCCTGATAGCATGACCACGGTATGGGAGACGAAGTCTGGCCATTCTCACTTTTAAGGAGCATTCTGGCTGTACTCCCAGGACAGATTGATGTGACTAGGATAACTTGACCATCCACTTTATCAGCTCTCAGGGCCTGGGAGCTGCCCGATCTGTGGTCTTGGAGTCCTGGTCCTCCCACTTATTATGTGGCTTTGGGCAGGTCCTTTCATTTACTTCAAACCTCAGTTTTCCTGTCCATATTATGGGGATATGCCTCCTTCATATAGGAAGCTTTGGTGGCACTGTGGTTAAGGCATTGGGTTGCTAACCAAAAGGTAGGTGCTTCAAACCCACCAGCTGCTCCAGGGGAGGAAGACGAGGCAATCTACTCCCATAATGATTTACAGCTTTCGAAAGCCGATGGGGGTCACTATGAGTTGGAGTGGACTGGATGGCAGTGGGTTTGGTTTTTGGTTTGGTTGGCCTTCTTCATGGGCGAATGGAATGCTCAAGTGAAAAAAAAGCAACTAGCTCTCACTGAGTACCCATTGTGGGCTGGGCACAGTGACAAGCTTGTCACAAGGAATATCTCAGTGAATACTCAAACAGCCCCATGATGTGGGTACTATGATCACTCCCATTTTACAGATGAGGAAACGGAGGTATTTGCCTAAGTACATGTTGAGTTAGAATTTGAGCCCAGGCTTAAGCAGGGCCGACTGATTCATCAGGCACTGTTGGCTCCAAGTCTAGGGCTTATGATACTTAAAAAAAAATAAATAAAAATTGTTGTCCAGTCGATTCTGACTCATGGCTACCCCAGGTGTGCAGAGTGGAACTGGGCTTTTCAAAGCTGTGACCTTTGGGAAGATCACCAGGCCTATCTTTTGAGGTGCCTCTGGGTGAGTTCTCACTGCCAACCTTTTGTCAACCTTTTGGTTAGTAGTCAAGCCCTGAACTGATTGCACCACCTAGAGATTCCTGATATTTTCAGTGCCCCCAACCTTCTGGTTTCTTTTAAAATCAGAAGAGAAGAGTGACTATAATCCAGCCTGGATTGATAGTCATCTTTGTACCAATACAGTCATTTTAAAATACAATTTTAAATATTTTTTTTTAATGCAGAAGGGACAAAAGTCATCATGTGGCTCTGAGCTGGCCCACCAGCCCACACAGTGCCTCCAGCTGACTGGAGGCCTGGCGCTGGCCTCCTTGCATCCAGGAAGGACTACCGACCCAATTCCCTTGCCCCACCCCAGCCAGAGGATGAAGTCTCTGGACAGGCTGCTCCTGGAGTGGGGAGGGGAGGCTGAGTGGCACAATGCCCTTGGAGTGATGGGGATTAATATGGTTTTGACAAGAGAAAATCCCAGTAAACACTGCCATACATTCTCGGTGGAGCCCTGCCTCTTGCCCCTCCCTTTTCTGGCTTTAATTTCTCCTGGGGCTCTCTTCCTCCTGGGCTCTGCTCATCCCACTTTAGTGAGGACTGGGGGGCAGGGAGGTCAGAGAGGTGAGTCCACCTGCTTAGGGTCACCCAGCAGCATGAGTCACAGGCTCCTGCGATGGCTCCCTGTGTTCACTGTTTCCTTTTGATTTTAACGAGGGTACTCCTGGCAGCCCTTGGCTTCTGGCCTGGGTCACCCTGGCCCAAACGGTGAGTCATGAGGAGCTGTCTCCCAAACAACCGAAAATTAGCTTTGGTTCCTGAGGAGCTTTGGCCCACAGCCCTTCCTGTAGCAGCTTAAGGAGTGTTTCCTGGAATGGGACGGGTTTCTAAGCAGGTCCATTTTGTGACCTATTTGGAGTCTTAGGCTGACTAGGATGGCCCCTGCTGGTCAGCACCTGTGGCAGAAAACTGAGAACCCTAGGCCAGAGTTAGGCAGGGAAACCCAGGCCGGCTTCTAGGCAAAGGTATTCCTTGCTGAGTTTTGAAGAATTTCACTCACTTGGGAAATGCGGTTGATTTCACAGCTGATGGTACAGTGGGGTAGAAAGTACAAGGTCTCTGGCATCAGAAACACCAGGACTTGAGGGCCAGCTCTGAGCCTTAGGAGCGGGCGCCGTCACCCCTCCGAGCCTAGCTTGGTCATCCATAAAAGGGGCATAATTAAACCTGCCCTTCAGGGTGTGGATGGATGAAAAGGAAATAAAGTGGGTAAAGCTGTCAGCAGGAAGCCTTCCTCAGACTAGGAGCCCACAAACACCGGGTCCCGCCCTGCTCCCTGCTGGCCTGCTGAGGAAGCAGCTGCTCTCTGAGGATCTTGATGCTCTGACCCACTCTGGGCTCCAGATGTAGCAGGCCGGGGCCCCCAGCATTACACTAGGAGTATTTGCTTCGTTTGGCAGGTTTTGGAGTCTCTGCCTAAGGCATGTGACTGCTAACCAACCAGAATGCTGGTGGTTCAAACCTACCAGCCACTCTGCAGAAGGAAAATGGGGCAATCTACTTCTGTGAAGATTTACTGCCTCAGAAACTCAGCGGGGGTCGCTTTGAGTTGGAATTGAGTCGATGACAGTGGGTTGGGTTGGGTTTTGGTTTGGGTGGTGCAAGTGATTAATGCACATTGCTGCCAACAGGAAAATTAAAGGTTCAAGTCCGCACAGAGGTGCCTCGGAAGAAAGGGCTAGGGACCTACTTCTGCAAATGTGGCTGTTGAAAACCCTGTGGAGGTCGCCACAAGTCAGGACTGACTAGATAGCAATTCATTCTTGGTTTTGCAGATTTTAACTTTCAAGAGGTAGGGTGGTTGAGGGGCTAAGGGGAACAGAGGGAACAGAGCGCAGCCTCTCAATTCTGTCATCTTTCTCATGGTGCAAATGTAAGGAAACAAAGTCCTTATCCCCTGTGACGAAGAGCCAATAGTCACAACAGGTTGAAGAGAGAAAGCAAAAGGTTTATTGACTGTGGATACCCAAGGAGACAATGAGAATTGTTTCTCCAAAAGTCTGTCTCCCTGAGCTGGGGAATGGTTAGGGCTTTTAAAGAGAATTGGGCTGAGAGGGTGGGAGGGTTTGAGGAATGCTGATAGTGTTTCTTGTTATTTGGGATGGGTTGCAGTTACTTGGTGACCTCTCAATGTTCTTCTTCTGGTTGGTTATAGAAACCGTCCTTGGTCAGGAGAAGCGTCCTTCAGGTTCCCCACACCTGCCTAGACAGATTAATTCTACGAGGGGGAGAGGATGGGCGTGGGCGTCCTCAGGCCTCTCGGTCTGCCAGCTGCCAGGGATATCTCTGTTTTCTCTATCTTGGTTGCTCCAAGGCTTGGTGTCTCTTTTCTCAGGGTCATCTTGGTATAAGTTACGGATCTCAGCTGAAACTAATTGCAGGAAAGAGCTACGCTTCAAAGAATGCAAAATTGGGAATAGTAAATCTAAAACCTCAGCGCCTGTAGAGAATGGCTGGCTATTGTTATTGTTGTTGTTAAGTGCGGTCGAGTCGTTTCCGACTCATAGCGACCCCATGCACAGCAGAACGAAACACTGCCCGATCCC